TTTTTTTTTTTTTTTTTTTTTTTTTTTTAAATTAATTGATTTTTAAAATATATAATCACTTTCCATTACTTATTTTTTTTTTATATATATTGTCGCATTACCCATATATCTTAACCAACTATACTCAAGTTGTCGGGTGCATTTGGTATTAAATATATCTGTTAGACCAAATGTTACAACGAATCGTTCAAAATGTGTTTCCTAATATAATCTACCAAACCAGGAAGTGGAATGGATTTCCATTTTCAAGTGAAAGATGTTGATTTAAGCCATGCTTAAAGATGATCTAAACAAGTCTTTCAAAGAAGCACGTGAGCTTGGGAAGTAGTTCCACAATCTTGTACGCGTTTAACAGCATAGTAAAAAATCTCAACACGAAATCTAGATGTAACAACCCAAACCCACCGCTAGCAAATATTATCCGCTTTGACCTGTTAAATATCACCGTCAGCCTCACCATTTTTAAAACGCATTTGTTAGAAAGAAGTTTTTATGCCTTTATAAGGAATCATTGGTTCCCCTCTCCAACCGATGTGGGATCTCACAATTCACCTCCTTTGGGGGCTCAACGTCCTCGCTGGTACACCACGCGGTGTCTGACTCTAATACCATTGGCTTGAGCTGTTACAAATGGTATTAGAGTCAATCATTGCGAGGTACTAGTCGGAGTAGGACTAGACCCTCTCCATAGTAGATGTGTTTTAGAATCGTGAGGCTGACAACTATGCATAACGGGCTAAAACAGATAACAATATTTGTGCATAGAAAGATTGATCTCAAGCCGACACCAAGAGTATATACACTGATAGGTAAGTTTTGAAGAACTTCTCTTCTATGATAAACTATATAAGGTGTGAACTAAGAACAACATGCTAAGAAGATGGTGGCTATAAGCTATACCAAATTCATAAACTTATGAACAAGTTCATCAGTATGATGATTAGCTTACAACAAAGAACTCTATATTCATCTTAGTCTCTATCCTTTACGAGATTTCCGATCATGTTTACCAAAGACGGAGTTCCTTTTGCCATGATTTCAACCCGAGAGGCATTCGATGCGTGCGAGAATAAGGAAAGTCCAAAGAGTATCAGCTCGGGAAGGAACAGTCGAGACGACAAGAAACCGTGCCAATAATGAGGTTCAAGATCGAAAAATGCATCAAATAACCTTCTTGTTCCCTTTAGATCAAGCTTCAACAAGATATCCATCCCGAAACAGAAAAACTCCCTCTGCCTCCTCCGTTCGATAGGCCATAAATCTCTCCAAACTTCAGACGATATCTCGTCTCCCCTGAAACGTCCATCCGAACCAAGACACCGAACTATTGCACCGGCAACAATAGGTGCTGCTGCTAGAGTTCTTGCTACCATATATCCCGTCGAAGGGTGCACCATCCCCGCCGTTCCTCCGATTCCAACGACTCTTTGAGGAAGAACAGGCAGTTGTCCGCCCATTGGAATGACACAGTGCTCATCTTCTTCAATGCTCTTCACTTTTATGCCCAAGTGCTTCAATCTTGCATCCATTCTTTCCTGGATATCGCTCATCTGTAGTCCCGGTCGAGCTACCAAAGAAGTTTCTTCGAGAAATATTCGATTCGACGAAAAGGGCATCGCATAAAGAAACGTGGGAATTTTGCTATTTCTCTCCTTCAAAACCATATTGTTATCCAAATGTGAATCCCTCCAGTCCATAAACACCATCTTGTCAACGTCGAACGGATGTTCCTCGACCTCGGCTAAAATCCCATATGCTACTTGGTAGCCTGGATTGTAAGGCTTATCGTATCGAACGAGGCATCGAGAGAAGCCAGTAGCATCAAGAACAATGGCAGCTTGAATGGTCACACCATCACTACAAATTAACAAAGATTTAAACTCCTCATGTATAACTTTAACAACTTTAGCTTCATGAAACTTAACACCATTGGCAATGCACTTTTGCAACATTTTTGACTTGAGCTGCTTTCTATTAACCCTCCCATAAGGTCGACCAAGATCTTTCGTCGATTGTTCATTCGTGAACACGACAGCACCGGACCATGTCGTGTCGAGACAGTCGAGCAAATCCATTGCCTCGAACTCATCCACCCAAACTCCATAATTGTTAGGCCAAATCAACTTGGGAGATGGATCAATTGAACAAACTGAAAGCCCTGCCTCTGAAACTTGCTGTGCAACAGCAAGCCCTGCAGGGCCACCTCCCACAACTGCAAGATCGACGACAAGGCCTCTCGACGGATCGTACATGGGAAGCTCAACCTCCAGAGTCTCCTTCTTGGCCTCAGGAACAAGCTCCAAAAGAGCACTGCTTCTCACATTGACACAACCCCCTTTTTTCCTTTGAATCTTATGAAACTTCGTACTCCTCAAACCGTTCAATTTTTCAGAAACCCCATGTAATGGTTGCATAAAACCATATTTGGTATTGATTTTAAGCAAAGAATCCATGGGTTTCAGCACAAATCTCCCAAAACCCTAAACAAAATACACTAAACAGGGCAACCACAAGCAGAATTTTCAGGGAATCCCCACAGAAACCCAATATCCAGAAATCTCAAGCAAGTATAAGCAGTAAAACGAGGAATCCAAAAGGGGTTTTCAAAATTTTCAAGAAACCCTTAAGAACTGAACAAGAAACAGGATAAATTCAATGGAAATCGGTGTTAAAGATTAAGATGCGTGTGCTTTGAGGCGAACCTGAGGAGGCGGAAGGAGCTCCATTTGGTTCCAGTGGATTGGAGAGATGTGGAATGTGTGTGGCCAGTGGCCAATTGATGAACTGACGCTGCCGTCCACTCTTCTCCAAGAGATGGAAATTGGAGGAATTGGAGAAGATTGGGGATTTGGGCGTGTCCCCACTTGGGGCATGGCCCCATACTTGCCAATTAATGGCGGTGATAATAGGAGTGAATATCGCTCGCTCAATTTGATGTCTCCATTGCTTAAAAAGAGTTTGACAATGGTGGCTGTTCTAGTTTTAGATTTAGTGTACTGTCCAACATGATTCCTCTTTAATTTTGATTACGAAAGTAAAACGAAGCTGTGAAAAGTAAACAAGACAAGAAAGTCAGACGAAAATAATAATTAATTAGTTAATGCTGCATTTAATTCTCACACGATGCAATGTGTCACAATCTCACCTTTCCTAGTAGAGAACTTTCATGATCATAGACACTCGCTTCCACAAGGAGTGACTTAAGGCAATCTAGGATGGTGCCACATAAGGTGGCAGAACAACTTATGCTCAAGCCGATAGTCCCATTTTGAGGAGAATCATTTAAAAAAATGGTTATAGGGCTCCAAACAAAAGACATTGATTGACAACAAGCAAAAGGCAACGCGAGAGACTAAAATAATATATAAATTTTTGGGTAAGGAGGAATTTGACAGGTAATCGCATCCCCGTTTTAGTACATTTTGAGGCAATTCAAGTCTGGCATAGACGTAATTTAGCTGAATAGTACTACAAAATCTAAGTGGGAGAAGTTGACAATTGGTTGCATCCCTTATTGTAGTACATTTGTGGCATTTCATATCTACCAAGCAAGCGTAAACATGATTCTCTCGAACCGTTGTACACTTAGAAATACAATATAGAAACTATACATCATGAAAGTAGTAAAAGAAAGCATTACATACATTTTTATGGGAAAGATTATAAGTTGTGTGTATGATTTAAGTAACAAGATGAAATTATTAAGATGCAAGTGTAGCTGTATGATTTAAGTAACAGGTAATCGCATCCCCGTTTTAGTACATTTTGAGGCAATTCAAGTCTGGCATAGACGTAATTTAGCTGAATAGTACTACAAAATCTAAGTGGGAGAAGTTGACAATTGGTTGCATCCCTTATTGTAGTACATTTGTGGCATTTCATATCTACCAAGCAAGCGTAAACATGATTCTCTCGAACCGTTGTACACTTAGAAATACAATATAGAAACTATACATCATGAAAGTAGTAAAAGAAAGCATTACATACATTTTTATGGGAAAGATTATAAGTTGTGTGTATGATTTAAGTAACAAGATGAAATTATTAAGATGCAAGTGTAGCTGTGTTGCCGATGATGACATAAAGTAGCCTTCATTGGGTTAAAAGCAAAAGCAAAAGCTCCCAACTGCCTCATGAAAATTGGTTGCCCATTGTTTAGCAAACCCAGAGAGAGACCCATTTGAAACAGAGTGGTGGCATGTTTGAGCAGAAGAGAATTTAATGATAAGCTTCACTCAGAAGAAGAAGATGAAGAAGGGATGTGCAGCAGGTGTGTGTGTGAGGCATTTCATCAAACAGGTAAGGAGCATCCATATTATATTCTCCACCATTCCCATAACTCGAACGTAAATTCATCCCAAAATCTCAATAAACACGGAAGAAGAAAGAAGAACGCCGATACTTCTAATCATTCAAACCACCCAAATCTCTAAGATTTCACGCACAAAACAAAGGGTTTCTTCCGATACTTCTAATCATTCAAACCACCCAAATCTCTAAGATTTCACGCACAAAACAAAGGGTTTCTTCCGATACTTCTAATCATTCAAACCACCCAAATCCCTAAGATTTCACGCACAAAACAAAGGGTTTCTTCCGATACTTCTAATCATTCAAACCACCCAAATCCCTAAGATTTCACGCACAAAACAAAGGGTTTCTTCCGATACTTCTAATCATTCAAACCACCCAAATCCCTAAGATTTCACGCACAAAACAAAGGGTTTCTTCCGATACTTCTAATCATTCAAACCACCCAAATCCCTAAGATTTCACGCACAAAACAAAGGGTTTCTTCCATCACAGCCCACATTCCAGATTCAAAAAGAAAAAAGAAAAAAGAAAAAAGAAAAAAGAAAAAAGAAGGGTTTTTGAGTCTGTCAGACCGCCATGCGACCATCCCAGGCAGGGCGAACCCTATCCGAGAACGATCATCTACAGCCGCAAGGACCAAAGGGCCCGTAAGCCGTTAGTCACGCTCTAGTCGCACAGTAGTGGTTCATCCACCAGACTATGGTTCTTGTCTCCTTAGAACTCAAGGACACAGTTGTACAACCTATAGAACAGATCCTGTTCAAGTAAGGTCGTGACTTGATGCCTTCATCTGCTAACTTAAATACGCTTACTCTTATTCGGCAATTTCCGATGTGGGATATCTGACATGACTGACTTATTGACTTGGGCCAAATCAGCAGCCGTAAATACCCATCAAATCAGCCCATTTAGTTTAGAAGTATTTTTATTAATTTAGCTTTAATATAATTAACTCTCAAATATCCATTTAAAACAGACGCTTGCCATAAGCGCATACATACCTGTTGTCTCTTTCTCCCCCAAAAGTCTCCATATCCTCCAACTCCAATTTCGGCTACCAACTGGTCAATTCAATTCGTTTACAGACCTTTTTCTGTATAAGCCCGGGAAGAATCGATCTTAACCCACTCCACCAGACACCATCAAATGCTCAGGCTTCTTTCTCTCCGGCGATCCCTTCATCTCCACCACCGCCGTCCCCACTTTCCACCCACCGTCGCCATTTCCAGACCCCCTTTAAATCCCACTCGCCAATTTTCCACTGTTTCTCCTCCACCGCCGTCGTCCTCTTCCGAGTCCGAGCTCCGCAAGTACATTGGCTATGGCGCCCTAGTCATTTTATGCGGCGCCGCCACTTACTACTCCTTCCCTTTCCCCGAAAACGCCAAGCACAAGAAGGCCCAGATCTTCCGATATGCGCCTCTCCCCGAGGATCTTCATACTGTGTCCAATTGGAGTGGAACTCACGAGGTTCTTACGAGGGTGTTTCACCAGCCGGAGAATTTGGAGCAGCTTGAGGAAGTGGTGAAGGAGTCTAATGTGAAGAAGGCTAGGATTCGGCCAGTTGGGTCGGGGCTTTCGCCTAATGGGATTGGACTGTCGAGGATGGGGATGGTGAACTTGGCGTTGATGGATGAGGTCTTGGAAGTGGATAAGGAGAAGAAGAGAGTTAGGGTTCAGGCGGGAATAAGGGTTCAGCAGCTTGTCGATGGAATCAAGGAGTATGGGCTTACTTTGCAAAATTTTGCTTCTATCAGGGAGCAGCAGATCGGTGGCATCATTCAGGTTATTTTATGAGGATTTCTGTGGTTTTGATGTTGTTCAATTGCTAATTGAAGTACTATGTTGGATTGTGTGCTGCATTTGATCACTTTGAACACTTGAACTTCAATGCCATGGCTGTATGTCGGATAAATATGAGTAGTTGTCTGTCCAGGGCTGTAAATTAGTTTGTTTGCAGTGAAGAAATTTGATCTTGCTAGCTTCCCATCTATTTTGATTGGATTGTATTTTTTATTTTGTATTTTGTATTTCTCCTTGTGATAGAATTGTCATGGATATGATTTTAATGGCTGTCCGAGCTTAGAAGTAGTGCTAGTACCATTCAAGAGGTGAATTTTGAGACAAAACATATCTCGTTCGAAAGAGACGATCAAATTGTTGCCACACATAGCGTATCAAGTGAACATTTATCGATTAGACTAGTTATTTTTCTTTAGGTATGTTGCTTAATTGGATTCCCTTTTTATTTTAGTTTGACTCCTTTTGGTTGGGGCTTTGTTTTTGTATTCACATTGTACGGGGTAATAATCCACCTTTTGTGGGATTATTCCCGCGGATGCTGGTCGTGGTAGGTTCGAGGATCTTTTATTTGTCCTCAACAAAAGTTAGGATATTCATAAAAAAGATTTGATTATTTAGGTGCCAATAACATGTGGGATGAGATGAAAGTTTGGTGGTTTTTATTCTTTATGAAAAGTCTTTTTTAGTCTCCTTTGATTTTGTAACTAAAAGAACATATCATCCTGTCTTTTGGTTTCTTTAATGAAATGTTTCCAATCCTCCTCTCCACAAGGTGGAGATCCTGATATTGCATGAAATATGACATTTTGATTGTCATGTTTTTTCTTGAGCTGAGCCGATTATGCTTCTAGGTCGGTGCACATGGTACTGGTGCAAAATTGCCTCCCATTGATGAGCAGGTTATTGCTATGAAATTGGTCACGCCAGCCAAGGGTACTATAGAGATTTCCAGAGAGAAAGATCCCGAGCTTTTTTATCTAGCTCGCTGTGGTCTTGGCGGCCTTGGAGTCGTCGCTGAAGTAACCCTCCAGTGCGTTGAGAGACAGGAACTTGTGGAACACACGTATATTTCGAACATGAAAGACATCAAGAAGAACCACAAGTAATTATGTACTTTTTGATTGTTTATTTTATGCCATTCTATAGTATGTTGCATACTGCAGTTAGAAATGATAGTGTATTGTGATATAATTTGATTTATTTTGTCAGTGAACCGTCTAAGTTCTGAAGTTCTCTATCTTTGCAGGAAATTGTTGGCTGACAATAAGCATGTGAAATACCTGTATATCCCTTACACTGATGCCATTGTTGTTGTGACTTGCAATCCTATCTCAAAATGGAGAGGTCCTCCCAAATTTCAACCGAAATATACCAGTGATGAAGCCATACAGCATGTTCGTGATCTCTACGTGGAATCTCTTAAAAAATACAGGTTAGTGCCGTCTTCTGTTTGAGTATTTCGTTATCTATAATTTCGAAAGGAGGTGGACACGAGGCGGTGTGCTAGGAAGGACGTTGGGTCTCGAAGGGGGTGGATTGGGGGTGGGGGGTGGGGGGGGGGGTTGGGTTCCACATTGAATGGAAAAGGGAACGAGTGCCAACGAGGACGCTCGGCCCCGAAGGGGGTGGATTGTGAGATCCCACGTCAGTTGGGGAGGAGAATGAAACATTATTTATAAGGGTGTGAAAACCTGTTTCTAGCATACGCGTTTTAAAAACCTCGAGGTTGCCCGAAAGGGAAAGTCCAGAGAAGACAATATCTAGCGGTGGGCTTGAGATGTTACGTTTATTCTCTTAAATCACTTTCTATTCCTTTGTTTTGGTTGATATTCATTTTTTTTTATCATGAACTTAAAATTTTGTTCGAAGTAGTATTCATTTCATCTGATTGCTTGCTTGATAATTGCAGTGCTAGTGATGAAAGAGATATAAATGAGTTTTCATTTACTGAGTTGCGTGACAAACTACTTGCCCTTGATCCTCTGAACAAAGAGCATGTTGTGAAAGTCAATCAAGCAGAGGCTGAATTCTGGAGGAAGTCGGAAGGATACCGAGTCGGATGGAGCGACGAAATTTTAGGTTTTGATTGTGGTGGCCAACAATGGGTCTCCGAGACTTGTTTTCCTGCTGGTACTCTTGCAAAACCTAACATGAAGGACATTGAATACATAGAGGAATTAAAGCAGCTTATTGAAAAAGAAAACATACCTGCACCTGCTCCCATTGAGCAGCGCTGGACTGCTTGTAGCAAGAGCCCCATGAGTCCAGCTTCAAGCTCAGCTGAGGATGATATATTCTCTTGGGTAAACTCTAAACATCAATCTTTGTATTTTCTCTCTTTCAAGTTTTGAATCTATACTCGTGCAGCGAGAAAGCGGAATGTTTAGAGATACCCTGCAAGATCTTAGAACTTAATAACTTATAGTTCATCGTCGTTTTTTAGAGTAAGATTATGATTTAGATATATGCAAAGTCTTCTTGCAGATTAGATTAGAGGGAATGTCCTCGAGTACGTGGGCTATTCGGCATAAAGGGATAAGCATGAGATATTTTTCAAGACATAGCCCACCGCTAGCAGATATTGTGTTCTTTTGGCTTTACCTTTCGAGCTCCCTTTTAAAATTTTTAAAACGCGTCTACTAGGAGGTTTCCACACCCTAGTAGACGAGTTTTAAAAAACTTTGAAGGGAAGGCCGAAAGGAAAAGCTCAAAGAGGATAATATCTGCACGGGGTGTTACACGTAGTGAAAGTAAATGAAGTGTCATAAAGTTACTTCTAAACGGGTCAACTCGAACCAGTTACTTCTAAACGGGTCAACTGGACTGTGGTTCGTTGTTTGGTTATGTTGTGCATTTAATCAAGGATCATTTGATGCGAACAGGTCGGAATAATAATGTACCTGCCTACTTCAGACGCACGCCAGAGAAAGGAAATAACAGAGGAGTTCTTTCACTACAGACACCTCACTCAAACACTGCTGTGGGATCAATATTCTGCCTTTGAACATTGGGCTAAGATTGAGGTACCCAGTTTCAAAATCTTGTTTCTAAACTACCTCGAAGTATAACGAACGATTAACCGAGCAAAATGGCGTGAAAAGTTGACGTGTTTGAACGAATGTACTCTCAGGTTCCAAAGGACAAGGATGAGCTTGCAGCCCTTCAAGCAAGACTTAGGAAACGGTTTCCTGTCGATGAATACAACAAGGCACGACGGGAATTGGACCCGAACAAAATTCTTTCGAGTAACAAGTTAGAAAAGATGTTCGTGTCATCGGACGTGGTCTGAGATGCACATTTGTTCTTAGTGATCAATAAGTTATGCTATATCCAGTTGGGTAGGTGCTGATTTCTTGTGTTTACTGTAAATTTTTCACAGGAATGCTGTATTTCTCTTCTCCTGTGGTATATTATTTCTTTGATTTTTTTTTTTTTTTGCCATAAAAAGTCTACTTGAGGAAGGAGTTTCTTGACGTCATGTTGTTCNGAAGGGGGTGGATTGTGAGATCCCACGTCAGTTGGGGAGGAGAATGAAACATTATTTATAAGGGTGTGAAAACCTGTTTCTAGCATACGCGTTTTAAAAACCTCGAGGTTGCCCGAAAGGGAAAGTCCAGAGAAGACAATATCTAGCGGTGGGCTTGAGATGTTACGTTTATTCTCTTAAATCACTTTCTATTCCTTTGTTTTGGTTGATATTCATTTTTTTTTATCATGAACTTAAAATTTTGTTCGAAGTAGTATTCATTTCATCTGATTGCTTGCTTGATAATTGCAGTGCTAGTGATGAAAGAGATATAAATGAGTTTTCATTTACTGAGTTGCGTGACAAACTACTTGCCCTTGATCCTCTGAACAAAGAGCATGTTGTGAAAGTCAATCAAGCAGAGGCTGAATTCTGGAGGAAGTCGGAAGGATACCGAGTCGGATGGAGCGACGAAATTTTAGGTTTTGATTGTGGTGGCCAACAATGGGTCTCCGAGACTTGTTTTCCTGCTGGTACTCTTGCAAAACCTAACATGAAGGACATTGAATACATAGAGGAATTAAAGCAGCTTATTGAAAAAGAAAACATACCTGCACCTGCTCCCATTGAGCAGCGCTGGACTGCTTGTAGCAAGAGCCCCATGAGTCCAGCTTCAAGCTCAGCTGAGGATGATATATTCTCTTGGGTAAACTCTAAACATCAATCTTTGTATTTTCTCTCTTTCAAGTTTTGAATCTATACTCGTGCAGCGAGAAAGCGGAATGTTTAGAGATACCCTGCAAGATCTTAGAACTTAATAACTTATAGTTCATCGTCGTTTTTTAGAGTAAGATTATGATTTAGATATATGCAAAGTCTTCTTGCAGATTAGATTAGAGGGAATGTCCTCGAGTACGTGGGCTATTCGGCATAAAGGGATAAGCATGAGATATTTTTCAAGACATAGCCCACCGCTAGCAGATATTGTGTTCTTTTGGCTTTACCTTTCGAGCTCCCTTTTAAAATTTTTAAAACGCGTCTACTAGGAGGTTTCCACACCCTAGTAGACGAGTTTTAAAAAACTTTGAAGGGAAGGCCGAAAGGAAAAGCTCAAAGAGGATAATATCTGCACGGGGTGTTACACGTAGTGAAAGTAAATGAAGTGTCATAAAGTTACTTCTAAACGGGTCAACTCGAACCAGTTACTTCTAAACGGGTCAACTGGACTGTGGTTCGTTGTTTGGTTATGTTGTGCATTTAATCAAGGATCATTTGATGCGAACAGGTCGGAATAATAATGTACCTGCCTACTTCAGACGCACGCCAGAGAAAGGAAATAACAGAGGAGTTCTTTCACTACAGACACCTCACTCAAACACTGCTGTGGGATCAATATTCTGCCTTTGAACATTGGGCTAAGATTGAGGTACCCAGTTTCAAAATCTTGTTTCTAAACTACCTCGAAGTATAACGAACGATTAACCGAGCAAAATGGCGTGAAAAGTTGACGTGTTTGAACGAATGTACTCTCAGGTTCCAAAGGACAAGGATGAGCTTGCAGCCCTTCAAGCAAGACTTAGGAAACGGTTTCCTGTCGATGAATACAACAAGGCACGACGGGAATTGGACCCGAACAAAATTCTTTCGAGTAACAAGTTAGAAAAGATGTTCGTGTCATCGGACGTGGTCTGAGATGCACATTTGTTCTTAGTGATCAATAAGTTATGCTATATCCAGTTGGGTAGGTGCTGATTTCTTGTGTTTACTGTAAATTTTTCACAGGAATGCTGTATTTCTCTTCTCCTGTGGTATATTATTTCTTTGATTTTTTTTTTTTTTTGCCATAAAAAGTCTACTTGAGGAAGGAGTTTCTTGACGTCATGTTGTTCATCCCAGTTTCTGTTTCAAATAATTATACCAAAATTTTGATACTGATATTTACTTGTGAAAGCTTTGAAAATTGATATAATTATAAGCTTCCGAAAGGTAAATAAGGCTACAAATTGATACATTTATGAACGTCGAAGGTTTAAACTGATAAATGTTCGGTTATCATTCACTAAATAACCATGTTTCGAGCTTATGTAGCGTAAATAAATTAATGATAAATAAAGTTAGAATTTTAGATGATATTTTTAAAAATTAATGTTATATATGAAATTTTTATAAAATCACAAGAACTAATTATTATATTTTAGGGAAGAAATTGAAGGTTTTTGAGAATCAGAAAAATTATGTAAAAAATAAAAAGAAATATAATAATAAAAAGATATATTAGTAGTGTGCGATTGTGTATTTCTAAACTAAATTAGCTGATTTGATGGGTATTTATAGCCGCTGATTTGGCCCAAGTCAACAAGTCAGTCAATATCCCACATCGGAAATTGGCATATAAGAGTAAGCGTATTTAATCAGGAAGATGAATGCATCAGGGCACGACCTTACTTGGACAGGATCTGTTCTATAGGTTGTACAGCTGTGTCCGTGAGTTCTGTCTGGTGGATGAATCACTGCTGTACGGCTAGAGCGTGACTAACGGCTTGTGGACCCTTTGGTCCTGCGGGTAGGGTCCATGCGGCTGTAGATGATCGTTCTCCGGTAGGTTTGCTCTGCCTGGGGATGGATGGTCGCATGGCGGTCTGACAGACTTTATAAAACCGTTTTTTTTTTCGTTTTTTCTTTTTGCTTTTTGAATCTGGAATGTGGGCTATGATGGAAAGAAACCCTTTGTTTTGTGCGTCGAATCTTAGGGATTTGGGTGGTTTGGAGGTGAAATTTTGGGATGAATTTACGTTTGAGTTACTGCGTTAAAATCAATTTTCCCGATTGAGATAAAGCTGTGTCGGTTGAAGCTGTAGAATGAAGGATATCATTAAATTCTGTTTTTCTCAAACATGGCAACACCTTGTTTCATATGGAACCAAGGTCGTGAGGGAAGGACGAGCTTAGTAGGTTTGAGTTTTATTTACAATGAGTGGGTGTGTTCAATTCATTTGAATTACCAAATTACTTTTGATTTTTAATGTTTACCTCTATATCTAAATATACAATATTTGATTCTCAAAGGAGATATGAGAAATGAGATGTACTTGAATATTATTCAAGTGAAACTAATGAAGACCACAAAACAAAATTTACATAATAATTACTTCAATATCCTATCAAGCAAGCAAGTAGAAAAGAATAAAAGAATAATGTTTGAAAGACTCTACACAAAAGCAAGCCAAATATCTCCTCCTATAAAACTACTAACTACTCTTCGGATGATTGATTCTAAAGCCCAAGGTTGCAAGATTGAACAAACTCCAAGTCATACTCCACATACTTCCTCCAATATGGCTTAAACTGGGAGATAGCAATGTCTAACCATGGCTTCATGTTCCCATTGAAGTGCACAACTGCAGCATTTTCAATCTCTTCCTTGCTAATGCTGGGATTGTAACCGAGTCCGAGAACATGCCATGTCTTGTCCAGTGGCTTCGTCGTCGAGTAAAATGTGATTAAACCAGGAGGCAGTGTCCCCAGTTTCCACAATGTTCGATTCTCATTCTGCACATAACATATAATCAAGATGAAGTTGTATTCCATAATTGTGAGTTTTAAGTCAGAAACTTGAAATGGGACTGTCCCATTTTGCCAAAAAACTTACCATATTCTGCCAATAGTGATAATCTTCTGTGCAGTTTTCCCTTCTCCATGCGTCCAAATCGAAGAAGTTCATCCCGTAAGCCCACGCACACGCCTTGGGATCGAACTTCTCTTTGATTAACGGATGTGAGAAGTTCATGTACTGTGCATATCTATGGAACGAGCCAAAACAAGTCTCCACTGCACCATTTACTTTTCCATTCATATCAATCTTCCACAGGCCAGTCAAGTCCTTCTGCACCACTATGTCATCATCTAAAAACAAAATTCTGTGTAGTTTTGGATACATCTCAGGCAAGTAAAACCGCAGATGGTTCAAAATCGATAGATACTTGGGGTTTCTGAACTTCATATTCGTCGTGTCCTTCGTTGCATTCTCAACGCTGCTCTCGAAGTAAAACCTCTGTAAATTTGCAGACTCTAATTGGCGAAGCACTGGAACGTAAGAAGAATTCAAGAACTTATAATCCTCCACTGCCTTGACTTCAATGTGAGCGCCATTGTAGTCCTTCAATTTGAACATAACTTGCATTGCTCCAAGATTCATCTTGTCAGTGACAACATGAAACACATGCTTCCATGGCTCTTCGGCGTTCTTCACAGCAGAGTTAACTACCACCGATGCAGCAACGACATTATCCGAGAATATGGCATAATGGTACAGCTCTGGATCCTCTATTTCGGGCGGTACTGGCTTTCCTACATCTGAATATTTTCCCGGATTTGCAATTCTCTCTTCCATCAACCTCATTGCAATGCAATGCAAACTCTTTGGAAGAGACTTGGCAGCAATCAAACTCGAGAAAGCTCCTTGTTTCTTCGCCTTCGTCAACTGTTCATTCACTGCAAAAATGTTATCCTTCAACTTCTGGATCTTAAGTTGATTGTCGAATGACTCTTTCGCTTCAGAAATCACTTGTCTGGTGACTTTGATTCGCTCTTTCACCTCCTTCTCAAATCGACGAAGCAGAGCCTCATCTAAAGAAGAGGTTCCACGCTCAAAAAGACTACTGTAAGCAGGTTTACTATTGAGATCTGTATAGTTCTGAGCAACATCCGTGCAAACCCTAACGAGCTTTGAGTACTCAAGCTTAAGCCTTCGAGCATAAGATGAATAGGCGTGAAGCAAATTGCGATTGTCATCGGCTTGCTTCAGGATCCGATCCAGCCGCGGTTTAAGAGGATCCGATTCCACATCCAATGGAGATCTCCTCACGTAGTTGATCCGATGAGAGCCAGTACCAGAACCAGAACCAGAACCCTAATTACATACAACAAATAAACTATATAACTAAAATCATACTCCAACGAACTTCAACAAAAACAAATAACAAATAAACAACACAATAAATCCAAATATCCGAAAATCAAATGCATTCACAAAAACTAATCAATTTCAAGCAGAATTCCGAATTCGGACTAAACGTCAATCAGTGCCGGATCCAAAACACTCCGATTTCCAAGTCAAGTGATTAAAAAAAAAAAAAAAACATAACACAGGCATTAATTACGTTTCTCAGTAAGCAAGAACAAAAAAATCATGAGGACAATGAGTAGAGCAGTTACCGAAAGGGGGAGATTGACAGTGTGAGTACAGAAAGAGATGATCGAGAGAAAGACGACGACGAAGAACGCGACCGAGGCGAGGACTCTGAAGGAGAAGATTCTGGCCATGTTTCGAGGAATTCCTTCCTCTTTTCCGTGAGTTTTCCCCCCTCAGATAGAGGTTGAAGAACAGAAATTTAAATCAGAATCTAAGAGAGCATTAATAAATATATATATATACTTTTAAATTCCAAATAATTTTAATTAATTTTTTTTTTATAGATACTTTAAATATGATTTAAATAAAATATATTATTAAATTTCTCTCTACTTCATAATTTTTTTTTTAAGACTGTAGGAGTATTTTCTCTCCAGAGACTTCCAACTAGTCTTAGTTTTACGTGTTCGAGTTATAGGGAGGAAGATTTTCAAATCTTGTAGAAGTTTCATATTGTCGAAACACGTACTTTCCGCTACGATTAGAGGTGTGATTCGTATTCTATTTGATTTATATATTGTTTGGTTTATGCTCGTTAAGTGTTCGAAGAAATGTCTAAGAGAGACTTGGTTTCTAGACCTGGATGATTGGGCATAGCTAGTGATGTTGTCTGTGGACATGTTCAACAAAATCATGGGTGAAGTTCCGCTCAGCATTGGGACATTAACCACACTCATATCAACGGCAGCGACATCTGATTTGGAGCTTCTGATCCCAGGTGAAGTTCTACCTTCCTTTTGGCTATTAAAACTGGTCTTTTTTCTGGTTTTCTGCAGAATTCTTTGTTGGATATGTATGCCATGTTTCGGGAGTTGAAAATTTCAATTATGTTTAGAGAAATTCCTCGTAGGTCTATTGTTACCTGGGGAGGAATGATGTCTAGTTTTACTATCAAAATGAACATTTTGATGAGGAAGTTGAGATCTTCAAACAAATGCAAGCAGTTGGCATGAAACCGTGCGTTTGTGCTCATTGTCACGGTCCTACTTTTTCAGCTACACGGTATCGTGATCTTGACACGCTCACGACTAGTTTTGAGAGGAACCTAAGCCCATATTCCTTCTTCGTCTGACTTTGTGGCTTCGTCGGACCTTAGGTGAGGTTTGTCTTCACCCACCTAATATAACTTGTGTGAAATCCATGCTTGTTCGGCCACACATGTTGGTTGCACATGCATGTACAATCTTTTGCGACCTAATCGACTTGCCTCTACAGTAGGTCAAGTCATTCGGCTAGATATTATCCTTACTTGAGGCCAAGGTTTTTCATGTGCAATGTCGCATCTCAAATCATCTTAGTTCTTAATTAACATGACCCACATGTCTTGATGTCATCCCAAGTCATAGGGTGTTTTTAGCCATCACAACTCACTCGGTCATGCCATCGAGAACAGGCCCATGTGTCATTCATAATATCGGGACATTCTGAACATTCACCAATCTAGGTTCTATTGAGGCATTGGACCCTCCCGTGTATGTCATATCATTTATAGACTCCGTACCGGATAGCGTGTGTATGATTCAACCTCTGACACATGGGTCAAGGCACAATGTCGGCACGGGACACTGTCCTTGAAAGACCCATTTCAAAGGAAGTCGTCTAAGACACTCGTCTTGTAACGCTCGTTCTCACTGTGACACACGTATGTGCCATAAGATAGCTTGCTTAGATCACAAGGCCAAGGGTGGTGGGGAGCTGACATCATGCCTCCCTTATGGTACATTTTGAGGTATTTCCAATCTAGCAGTTGTAGACAAGATTTTTGCGAATGTACATATGGTGATGTGGATTGTCCATCTGGTGTCCGATTAAATCCAAATTTGATGAGCTTTCATATTTCATATGTATGGACTTGACTCCAGAACCACATGCCCAAATTCCCTCTGGAACCCTGACTTTTGAGGTTAAGGCCTAGACCCGACATGACCCTATATTTAACACTCAAGTCTACTCATTGCCCCTGTCTTGTTTATGACTCATCTTCTCTTCAATGCACACATTATATGGTGTGTTGGATGATGCATCGTCCTCTTCGATCGCATCATAACACTCTTTTATATTGGCCCTCGCGTGGCCAGATGGGCACCACTTGAGGGACGCCGCTTTCCTTGTCTCGATGTTAGAGTCACAATCTACTATGTTCATAGTATGATTGTGACACTCATCCTAATCTATGGATTGGAAATTGGTCGTATGAAACATCTCTCAAGCATGTATGTAAGACATGGAAGCATTCCTTCTGCTGGAAAATGTTGGCTAAAAATATTGTGGCATGGACTTGGATGATTGAGGGATATGAGCAACGCACAGGCTAGTGTTGGTCAATGGCATAAAATTGAAACCAGGTTGGAGCTTCATTTGAGTTCAAAGGAACAATTCATGAACTTGTTTCAGGAGATAGATCACACAGCAAGACCAAGGAGAGTTATGATTTATTGGCATATCTTAATAGGAGAGAATAGGAATGAGTGGTGTCTGGAATAGCCGTTGCGTATTGTCGTTAACCTCAGTTTTAAAACGTGTCTACTAGGGAGAGATTTCTACACCCTTATAAAAAAATGTTTCGTTCACCTCTCCAACCAATGTGAGATCTCACAATCCACCTCCTTTAGAGGCCTAGTCACTAGTACACCGCTCGGTGTCTGGCCCTAATACTATTTGTAACAACCCAAGTCCACCGCTAGTTGATATTGTCCGCTTTGGCCCGTTATGTATTGCTGTCAGCCTCATGATTTTAGAATGTGTCTATTAGTGAAATGTTTCTATCCCCTTATAAAGAATGCTTCGTTCACCTCTCCAACCAATCTGAGATCTCACAATCCACCTCTTAAGGCCCAGCATCTTCGGTGTCTGGCTCAATACCATTTGTACCAGCCCAAGCTCACCACTAGTTGATATTATTTGCTTTGGGCCGTTATGTATCATCGTCAGCCTCATAGTTTTAAAACGCATCTACTAGGGAGAGGTTTCCACACTCATATAACGAATGTTTCATTCTCCTCTCCAACCAATGTGAGATATCACAATTCACTACCTTTGGGGGCCCAGCGTCGTCACTGGCACACCGCCCCGTGTCTGACTCTATTACCATTTGTAATAGCTCAAACCCCTACTAGTTGATATTGTCCGTTTTGGACCGTTACATATCGCTATCAGGCTCACAGTTTTTAAAACGCGTCTACTAGGGAAAGTTTTCCACACTCTTACAAGGAATGCTTCATTCCCCCTCTCCAACTAATGAGGAATCTCACGTTATCGATTTACTGTTTATCTGTGCAACAATAAGGGTGTCTTATTAAACTTGAAATTCTTTGTCATAAATCTGTATGTCAATAATCTCTCGTAAATTTCTCTCATCTTTGCTCGACAAACCAACTTAGTTTTTCAGTAGTTGAAACTGAAAATAGGTTCCATCATGAACTATATTACATGTGATTGCATTTTCCGACCCCAACAATAAGGTCACTTGATGATTAGTGCTAATACTCAATATGTAACGTCAAACGTGTTGGAACGAGATTGAAAGGCTAGCAACATTGAAAACTTGTTTTTGGACACACCATGTAATTGTATATCACGTGGGTGACTGATTTGAACATTGATGATAATTATTGAACAAAAAAGAGGAAAAGGCTAAGACTATATATATATATATATATTGTACATATAGGTCTACTGGTGCATCAACCAATATTGCATATAAACCAGAAAATAATTTCTGTACGGAAATATTTATTTATTTTAATAATTTTGCTTCACTTTTTTTCCTCTCTAGTTGATAGAGGGGTTTAAAGGAAAGTCACGTGCTATCAACTTGCACAAAATAAATTATTTTCACTTACCAAAAACAAATCATTGCATATGGTTATTCAATTTCTTTGACCTAGATTTTGAATATATATATATATATATGAGATAGATCGACACATGGGTTAGTTGACTACGGATGTGTTCAAACAAGTTAAGATGGTTGAACTGTCCTAAGATATGGGTTGACATTATGATGCATGAGTCATGTTGTTGGGAATCGAGATGATGATGAGATGTGACGTTGTGTCGCAGACGATGGAACATACATGTGTAGGCGGCGTGTGTGGCCGAACAAGCTTTGATTCTGTACAAGTGATGTTCGATTGGTGAAGACGAACCTTGCTTAAGGTCCGACGAAGCGACAAAGTAGGGCGAAAAATGTGAATGTGGCTTGAGTCTCCCTTAAGAATTGTCGTGAGCATGTCAAGATCACGATGTCGCACGATTGGAAGAAGTACGACTGTGGCAATTGTTTGTGAGGATAATCTTAAAAGAATTGAAAGTCACTATGTGCACCTTTCTTTTTGGTGGCTCAATCATAAAAACTTTTAAGCGTGCTTTCCTTAGAGCAATTTTATGTTGGATGACCTCTTACAAATTTTCTTATGATGTATGTGAGTGAGGACAAAGCAGGGTAAAAAAACTCGTGTTAGTATGTGAGGTAATCTTTACTCTTAGAAGCGATAAATAATATAACTAAGACAAAACATGTTTAAAGGACTCGTTTTCGTCTGTAAGGTAAAAAAAAAGTGATTTTTTTTTTAAAAATTAGATTGGGAAAGTAATCATTATCATTATTTTTGGTCCATATATAGGAAAAAGAAAATAGGCATTGAATGAACTATGTAAGAGTAGGGAACTCTATGCATTAATTTAACCACAATTGGAAAGCCTATATATCTATGCTATATGACGAGTTAAATAGTTATCTATTTTTGAAGTGCCACGATGAGTAAAATTTGACGACTGGGTGTCATTTCAATCAGTTGGAGTAAAGTCTCGGGTGCTGATGCGGTGACAGATAATGAGTGGTCAGTTTTTTTAATTATTTAAACAATTTTACTTATCTACTGTTCTTGTTACATTAATAACTAATATCCGCTACAAACATTAAGTACTTTTAATTTTTATAATAATCTTAAAAACTATAATAAGATTGGGTAGGTTAGGTTGAACGGACCAAAAAAATGTCAACCCACAAACAAATCCAAATTTTTTATTTTTAAAAAATTAAACTCAACTCAAACCGAAAAAAACCTCAACTTTTATGATTTGGATTAAATAAATATTTTATTGAAATTCCGGGGTCAAATCGAATGAAGTCTAACGCTTTAAATCAAATAGATTTTGTGAAGTAACTCATAAATGAATTTAGAAAATTATTCAAGTAAATCTTACCTATAGATCTCTTTAAAAAAAAAAAAAAAAAAAACAATTGTATGACCTTATCCCATTAGTTGACAAAACATGTAACACCCATTGGTTCAAACATAGGACAACCCAAACTTGGTAGCTAGGGTTTTAATCACCATAGCTGCAAGCATTCTTAGTTGAAGAACCAATATATATAATTATATATAAATGCATGAAATGATGGGACATGTAATAAAGATTTGTAATAAAATTTGAGCTAAGTGTTCAGTAATCATGGGAATTGTGGTACAGTGTCGGATCAGTTCCTTCAGCTCCCATTTGAGCTGAACCAGAATTTGCTCCAAGATTCAAATAAACCAATCTTCCATTGCTTCCATTGCTGCTGCTGCTGTGATCTTCGCTCATTGGTGGATATATTGTTGTTGAGGATGAAGCATTTGCATTGTTGTTGTTCCCTTGTTCTCTTGATATCACAACTGCTGCTGATTGAACCAACTCCAAGCATAGCCTCAGCTTGTTTGGTTCTATGTGTGTCATCCCTGGGACAGCTCCTTTGAATAGGAAATCCGAGGTTAGGGTTCGGAGAATGTCGAGCGGTGTCACCCCATTGATGGTTCGGATTGTCGGGTCGGCATGGTGGTCGAGGAGGACCGCCACCATGTCGGAGGACACCATCTCGGACGCAATGTGTAAGGGGGTTTTCCCCGCTGGCCCAGCCGGGTAGTTCACGTCGGCTGCTCCGAGCTCGAGCAAGGCTTTCACAACTTCTCTACTGCAATTCTCGACGGCGTAGTGCAATGCTAATGCCTCGTCGAGATTTAAACCTTCGCCCATGACCATTAGCTTGACAAGCTCTACGTCCGAGGAGTCCAATGCCCTTCGCATTCGACGAATCTTTTGCTCCTCCAAGTCGGCTGCCGCACTGAGGTGGTGGTGGTGGTGATGGTGGTGGTGATGAGACATCGACGATCGACGAGTGAGGGAGGATTTGAGCCGAAGCTCCTCGATTTTGGCAACGACGTCGAGGGGAATGTGTTTGGCTAGAACCTCGGTTGGGAGGCCAGATTTTGCCACTAGATGAGAACATGTAGTCCATAGATGGTGCATGTCTTGCTTTCTTGATGCAATTAGAACTTTCATTACATCTTCAATTGAAGCTTTCTCCACCATGCTTACCAATTGCTTCTGTTTGTTCCATAATACACCAAAATTATGATCTAATGATTGAATTAAGTCTTTAATCTTCAGCTAAAAGTGCTTCAAAATTTGAATTAAATGTATCAAGAACTTGTTAGATTCATAAGATATTAATAGAAAAACATAAAAACATTTTAAAAAAACATAGAAATCATTAAGAAAAATCCTTCTTTTTAGCTAAAATCAGCTCCCAACAACTTAATCAGTCCAAATCCCAAGAACTCACCAAACCAACCAAATGATCAGAGAGAGAAATCCAAAGAAAAAACTAAACATTCCTCAAGATTTGAGAGAGAGATTAAACCTATTTAGGGAAGAAAGAGAGTGTAATAAGCCTACTGTTACCAACTATTGTCTGCTTTTAACTCCATATGTATCACCCCACCTTCAAGATTTTAAAACGCGTCTATTAGTGACAGGTTTCCTCTCCAACCAATATGGGATCTCACAATCCAGCGTTGTCGCTGGCACACTGTCTGGTGACTGGTTCTGATACCATTTGTAACAGTTCAAACCCACTACTAGCAAATATTGTTCGCTTTGACTCGTTACGGCCTTACGGTTTTAAAACGTTGTATGCTAAGGAGAGATTTTCACACCCTTATCAAGAATGTTTCGTTTCCCCTTCTATATATCAATATTAGATCTCACAATCCACCTCTCTTGGAGGCTAGTGTCCTTGCTGGCACACCGTCCGGTGACTGACTTTGATACCATATGTAACAACCCAAGCCCAATGCTAGCAAATATTGTCCACTTTGACTTGTTACATATCGTCGTCAGCCTCACAAAACACGTATGCTAGGGAGAGGTTTCCACACCCTTATCAGAAATGTTTCGTTCTACTCTCCAACCAACGTAGAATCTCACAATCCAACGTACTCGCTGGCACACCGTCCGGTGACTGACTCTGCTACCATATGTAACAACTCAAACTCAATGCTAGCAAATATTATATGCTTTGACCTGTTACATATCGTCGTCAGCCTCACAAAACACGTCTGCTAGGGAGAGGTTTACACACCCTTATCAGAAATGTTTTGTTCCCCTCTCCAACCAAATTGGAATCTCACAATTCAACGTCCTCGCTAGCACACCGTCCGGTGACTGATTTTGATAAAATTTGTAACAGCCCAAGGCCATCGCTAGCAAATATTGTTAGCTTTGACCTATTATGTATCACCGTCCGTCTCATGGTTTTAAAACACCTCTATTAGGGAGAGGTTTCCACACCCTTATAAAGATTGTTTTATTCTCCTCTCCAACCAATATGAGATCTCACAATCCACTTTTTTTTGGAGGCCCAGTGTCCTCACTGACACACTATCCGGTGACTGGTGATTGACTCTGATGCCATATGTAACAACTCAAGTCCAATGCTAGAAAATATTGTCCGCTTTGACTCGTTACATATCACCGTCAGCCTCACAAAACGCGTCAGCTAAGAAGAGGTTTCCAGTGTTTCGTTCCCTTTTCCAATCAATATGGATCTCACATAAAGAAAGTGTCTAATTGACAAAGCCACAGGTTCATGAGTTCATGAGAGAAAAAAATAGGACCTGAGTAAGCAAAGCGAGCTGTTCAACTCCAAAAGATCTAGCGGCAGCAAGAGTTTCAAGAACAAGATCAACGGCAGAGGAGCAATGCGTATGCCAACACCCTCGCTCGCCGCAATTCGGCCGTGGCTCATGCTTCTGCGGCAAAATCGAAACTTGCCCACTATACAAA